TTCCTGAGTTCTTCAAAGCCTAACACTCTATCCTCTATACCACATAAATGTGGATTATTATTATTATTATTATCATCATTACAAGTTATATAAATAAGTGTTGACCTCAATTTTATTGTTCATTCATTTGTCATTTCTGACTCTTCTTAACCCCATTTGGGGTTTTCTTGGAAAAGATACTGAGTGATTTGTCATTTCCTTCTCCAGCTCATTTTACAAATGAGGAAACTGAGGCAAACAGGGTTAAATGACTTGCCTAGGGTCACATGATTAGTAAGTGTCTGCAGCCAGATCTGAACTCAGGAAGATGAGTCTTCCTGGCTCCAGGCCTGGCATGTTATCCACTGCTTTACCTAGCTGACCAGGTTAACCTCAATACTTTACTGTTTGTTTCCATACTACAGCAATATGGTTTCATAGCCTTCATAGTGATTTTTTAAATCTAAGGTCAAAACTTTCATTTTCATTTTTCTACCAAATTAAATAATGGTATACACTGACTGACTATGTGGTTTTTTAATAATGTAAGGAAGCAGTAACTTCATAAGTTGAAACACAATGCCATGGGCATGGAGAGTCTTACACAGAATTTGTAGCTGTAGTGTGGATACCTGAGAGATGATTTACCCATTCATTACAACAGGGAAAGATGAGGGAGGTAGTAGCTGGAATATTGCCTGGCAGCTTTTATACCAGACTGAATGGTTCAGGGGATTGACAGTAAATGAGAAGCCAAGCCTTTCATCTCCAGGTTGTAAATCTAAACCTTTCTCAGGCTGCTAGAAATTGAAAGGTATTACTGTCAGATGATGAGTCTCCTCCCTTGCTTGATCTCCATTAATGAGCTCAGTAAAAATAAATGTCTAGAGTAAAGCTGTCTGTGTTGTTGGACCTTTGTTGACTCATTAATTCTGTAGTTTGCAGAATTAGCATAGGAAATGAGGATTTAACAGATCTAAGCTATCAAAAGAAGCTGGGAGGTGCTGGTCCTCCTTCAGCTGCTCAAAGCTTATAGTAGAAAGACCTAAATGTGGGTCAAGTTCCTTTGTGGATCAAGAGAGTGTAACCAGTTCTGAAACTCTTCTTCTGCCAAACTATTCACAGCTTCTATGGAGGATTACATAGAAAAGAAAGAGAAGATGGTAATCCATTCTTGCCCTGGATCTCATTGTGGATAAATCCAAAGAAAGAACCCAAAGAAGAAATAAGGCATAGGCACCATTTGTATTGAGTTGATATTGATTTGGATTAAGCTGTAAGGGAATATGAGGCTTTTATGAGATTTGTAAGATGCAATGTGGGAGATCATAATCATAGACTTAACTTTGAGGTCATTTATTCTAACCTCCCACCTATTGCAGGAATCTTTTCTTCAGTGCAGCACAGTGGAAAAAGCACTAGAAAGAGCTGGAATCTTGAATTCTAGTCTCAACTGTGTTTCTAACTAGATATGTGTCCTTCGACAAGTCACTTAAATTCTCTAGAACTCAGTTTCCTTGTGTGTAAAAGGAGAGTTGAACTTGGTGATCTCCAATGCTGTGGCTTGAACAGTCCATGAATGCCTGATAGCTTCTGCCATAATACCTGCCTTCTAAGGTAGCCCTAGTCATTTCTTTATTTCCCCCTTAACTTTGAAACAAAATCTCTTTATGGCATGTCCTTGATCTGTCCTTTATAGCAAAACAGACATCCACTCACTTTGTCACTACAGGCTGTTAAGCTGTTATGCCTTCCCTTAGTTACTTGTTACAGATCGAGCATCACCAATATTTCATCTGTTTTGGCTGTGGCGTTGTTTTTAGACCCCATCACTATATTAATAAGTTTTTTCCAGACACACTCCTTTGTCAATCTGTCTTCTGTTGGCATAAGTTCTTCTCAGCTTGGCTCTAACCAACCATTCCAGCCTTATATATTACTCACCTTCATGTACCATTTTAGTTTAGTCAAACTGACCTTTTTATTCCTCATGCATGATACTCCATCTCCTTTGTTCATGTCTTTTCCCAGGCTGTTCTACATCTCTTCCTGCCATGCTTGGAATACCACCCCCTTCCCACTTAGCCCCTTAGGATCCCTAGTTTCCTTCAAAGTTCATTTCAAGGGCCCCCTCCTAAATTTGTCATTTCCTCTCCCCTTGCCTTTGAGGCTAGTGCTTTTTACCCCAAAGGTTGTCCTGTTTTTATTTTGTATATACTTAAATGAATTCATGCCATTTCCCCCACATAATGTAAGCTTTTTTTTTTTTTTTTTTTTTTTTTTTTTTTTTGTGAGGCAGTCAGGGTTAAGTGACCTGCCCAGGATCACATAGCTAGTAAGTGTCAAATGTCTCAGGCTGGATTTGAACTCAGGTCCTCCTGACTCCAAGACCAGAGCTCTATCTACTGCGCTACCCAGCTGCCCATAATGTAAGCTCCTTGAGGGCAAGTATTGTTTTATTTTTTGTCAATATTCTCAGTACCTGGAATAGTGTCTGACACATTATAGGCATTTAGTAAATGCTTGTTGATTGACAATCCTTTTCTTTCACTGCTACCATTGGAGTCTAGGCTGTCACTACTATATGCCCACAATAGCTTCTTAACTGATCTTGTTTCCAATTCTTTTTTCTTACTACTGCCAAATTAATCCCCTTGAAACAAATGTCATCCCCTTGCCCAAGAATTCACAGTGATTTTCTCTAATCTGTTAGAGTAAGTCTGACCACCTCAGCAAGGAATTCTAGGTCTTCCATCACTTTATTCCATCTTGCTAAGGCAAGCTTATTAACTCCCTTTTCTCAAAAAAAAAAAACCAAAAAACAAAAAACACCACCTACTAAGCACCTTTTCAGACTGCGTTGATGTCAGTCATGGACCTAAGTCCTACACCATGCTTGTTCCCCTGACTTTGTTCACTTGTTCTACATTGAATACGCTTCCCTTTTCTCTCTACCAATCTAAATCTTACACTTCTTTCAAGACCTAACACTAGTCCCACCAATTCCACAAAAACTTCTTTGATTACTCCATTCAAGGGGAGGGCTATCAACATCTGAATTCCTCTAGTACTTACATAATACTACTTATTTCAAGACTTACCAATCTTAAATAATTATCTTTTTATGTGTATATATCTTGTGTCCCTAATTGGGTTACAATTCCTTAAGGGTCGGAATGATGTATTCTACTTTTTTTTTTATTTCCAATGGTGAATGCTGTATTTTATATCTACATATGTATGGAAGTGTATGCATTTCATATATGTGTGTATGTCTATAAATATACATATATATCTTCATTTCATTCATTCAGCAGCTATTGAGTGGATGAGGAGTGTCCTTTTTGGATGAATAGAGTGTCCTTGTTTCCTAACATGTGCTATTCTCCTCCCTTTTCTCTACCTACGGATCCTTTTAAAAGATTGAGTTTTCATCCTCCTTTCAGCCAGACCAAACCAACCTCCTCAACTGGAAATTAATCATAAGCTGCCTTGCAGTCTTTTTATATTGAGCTGTAATTTATCTCCTGTATTATTTGGGTTTTTATGTGATTCTACCATCTACTCATTCATAATGGGGTTGGAATCTGTGTTGATAGTGGGAGTATTTGTTGCAGTTTCATGGTGTGTTGTGGCAGCACCATCTCAAAGAATTCAGTCAGACCACCCCTAATCCAGGTATAGGCATTTATTGAGGATTGATGCCCCTCAGAAGCGAGCTATGTTCTGCAACTTAGTAAGACAACACAGGCGAATTTATAGTGTAATGATGCTGATTATGCAAGAGAAATTATGAATATTAAAGCAGGAGAGATTTGTTAAGGGATTAGGTAATGGGGGAGGGGTCCCAGCCTTGGTGAACCGACACATGCAATTACCCACAATGCATACAGAAAAACTCATTTGGGGGGCTTGTATATATGATAATGATATGATCATAAGCCTCTCTGCATCATAAGGTTGCTCTAGGTCAGTTCTTGCTATCACTGCGCGGGTCCCTACTTAGGGAAAGGCCCTTCTATTGTTTTGGGGTGCACATCCTTCTCAGGCATCCTGGTGGTGCTGCTTTCTGATTGGCTGACTGTTGTGGTCCTGTCTGAGATTAGATGGACATGGTTGTAGTTGAGTGCATGGACACATTTGTTGATTCTGTGGGAAATATGAGGAATGGATCTTAGGTCAGTGGCTAACTAGAGGCAGTGGCTGGGATCCCATCACATGGACACACGATGTTTCTGTGAGAAATATGAGTTCATGGACATACCTGCTATTCAGTGAGCAGTGAGGCATATTAGGATATTGAGTCTGGGGGCAATGGCTAGCAAGGGGCAGTGGGCCTGCTGTTCAGTGGGACCAGGAGCAGCTTTATTAGGATTCCATCATGCTCACACCAATAAAATGATAGGTCATTGAGATGTCATGAAATTGTAATTGAAAGAGTGTAATTGAAAGAGTGCTGGATTTGGAGTCAGAGTTTGGGTTCAAATCCCAGCTCTGCTATTTACTATCTGGGTGGACTTGGAAAAAATTCACTTAACCTCTCTGGTTCTCAGTATTCTCATTTGTAAAATTAGAGTGTTGGACTTGATGACTTTTAGGTTTCTTCTAACTCTAAATAAAATTCTAAGAAAGAAATAATTTTTATTTTTCTTACTGAGAACAGGGAACATATGTTATACATTTTTTTTTCTTACAAAGCCCTTAGCTCAATATCTTACAAACATGGACATTCTGTTGATTGGCTTAGAAGGGAGGTAGCTAAATTTTTTTTTTTTAAACTAGTTATAGGTCTTTGTGGTAATGATTGTATTGCCCTAATAGTTGATTAAAATTGTGAGTCCATTGAACTTTTGTGATTGGACCTTTTATGTTTTCTTGCCAATTTAATGTATTCACTATAAAATTGCTCATAATATAGAAATTTTGTGTATTTAATTTTTTATATTTCTTTGTATATTTATATGCATTTACTTAGCAGTAGCATTTATTATCTGTTAAAATACTTATTATATGTCTTACAGATTTCTAATCAACATAATGCTGGAGCATCAGCCTTGGAGCCAACATTTTTCAAAATGGCTGAGGTGGATGTTAATTTGGATCATGTCATACCAACAACCATTATTCCCACTTACTGGGCAAAACTCCTAGTGGCGTTTGTTTCTTTTGTGTGCTTTGCCCATAGTTATGATGGAGACTTTGTCTTTGATGACTCAGAAGCCATCGTCAACAATAAGGTTTGTTTCTCACTGTGACTGTTAAACTGATGTTAACAACCAAACTTGGCCCTAAATACAATACTCATTCTCAATTTGACATTTTCTTTGTAAAATGGTATTTTATTCTTTTCTGGTTATATGTAAAGACAGTTTTTGACATTGATTTTTTAAAAATTTTGAGTTCCAAATTTTCCCTGTCTGTCCCTCACCTCCCCCCTCCCTGAGATGGTAAGGAATTTGATATAGGTTATACATGTTCAGTCATGCAAAACATATTACCATATTAATCAGACGTAACCCTAAAGAAAAAGAACATGAAAAAATACAGAGAATGAAAAATAATATGCTTCAATCTGCATTCTGACACCATCTGTTCTTTCTCAGGAGGTAGATCGCATTTTTTATCATGAGTGCTTTGGAATTGTCTTGGATCATTGTATAATAGCTAAGTCATTCACAATTGATCATCCTGCAGTATTGTTGTTACTGTGTACAATGTTCTGGTTCTGCTCATTTCACTTTGCATCAGTTTGTATAAGTCTTTCCAGGTTTTTCTTAAATCAGTCTGCTCATTTCTTATAGCACCCCCTCAGTTTCCAATTCTTTGCTGCTACAGAAAGAGCTGCAATAAATATTTTTGTACAAATAGGTCTTCCCCTCCATTTTTAAAATCTCTTTGGTATAGAGACTTAGTAGTGGTTTTGCTGGATCAAAGGATATGCACATTTTTGTAGCTTTTGGTCATAGTTCCAAATTGCTCTCTAGAATGGTTGGATCAATTCACAACTCCACCAATAATTCATTAGTGTCCCAGTTTTCCCACATCTTCTCCACATTTATCATTTTCCTTTTCTGTCATATTAGCCAATCTGATAGGTGTAAGGTAGTAAGAGTTGTTTTAATTTGCATTTCTCTAGTCAATAGTGATTTAGAGCATTTTTTCATATGACTATAGCTAGCTTTGATTTCTTCTTCTGAAAACTGCCTGTTCATGTCCTTTGTCCATTTTATCAATTGGAGAATGACTTGTATTCTTATAAATTTGACTCAGTTCTCTATATATTTGAGAAATGAGGCCTTTATCAGAGACACTTACTGTAAAAAATTGTTTCCCAGCTTTTTGCTTTCCTTCTAATCTTGATTGTGTTGGTTTTGTTTATGCAAAGCCTTTTTAATTTAATATAATCAAAATTGTCAGTTTGATGTATTTTCATCTCTTATGGGAAATTTTATCTCTAGTGATTGAATGTTTTCCCCCATCAGTTTCTGAATTTCTTTTTGATTATGCATAAAACCTAGTTTAAAATAAGAATATGGTATGATGCCCTTTCCACTTCTGCTGGAGTCATAGGACCATAGAATTAAATCCAGAAGAGACTTTAGATTGTATCATCAAGTTGGTCTTTGTGTTGTTGTTTTTTTTCCTGCATAAAAAAGCATCTAATTTTCTGCTTAGGGTCATGGAATCATAGATTTTGAGCTGCCCAAACCTGCTACTTTCCAAATTTCGATATTTGTTCCAGGGTCAGTGGAAAAATTTGGGAAGAGAAGGGTTGTGGGGAACATCATGACTGCCCTCAAGTATTTGAATAGGTGACATTTGGAAGAGAAAAATTAAGCTTGTTTTACTTTGCATCAGGAATGTAACTAAGAACAAACTTTTGGATGCTCCAGAGAGACAGATTTAAAGTTGATTCAAGTGGGGGACAGAGGGACTGCTAACAATTACAACTATCCAAGTGTAAGGGGCTGTCTTGGGGGCTTCTGAATTTCATGTAAACAGAAGGTGATAAGTAAGGGTTGGATGGATAAGTGGACAGGTCTTGTAGAGAGACATATAGACAACATAGGTATGGGTTAACCTAGATGAGTTCTGGGGTCTTTTCCAACCCTGAGACATTAGTTCTAGTCTCTGCAGCTGTCAGTCAAGCATGGCAGCAACTCAAATGCTTCAGTTTATGTGAAAAGTGATATGACAGTGGGAAAAGTTGGGAGCATGGCCATATGGCACCTACTGTCATTGATGTTAGGGTGTTCCATGCTGACTGCTGCAGGTGAAAGTGTAGTGAGCCATTCCTGTTTGCTGTGTGACTTTCACACATTTTGTATCTTGAGAATCCAATTGGCTGGATGTATAAGGTCCTTATCAGTTTTATTTATCAGTGGATGCTGAGTATGAGATGGAAAATGCTATTCTTTTTTTTCATCTGCCAATGAGAATCAGGAAAAGGGAAAAGTGGTAAAAAAAAAAAAATAAAGTAAAATAGAGATAGAAAAGCCAAATAGAAACAATAGACATTGACTTTGAACACATTCAGAGGGGAACACCTGGACTTGAAACTGAATCCCTTTTAGACATCAATAAATTTCGCTTATGGCCTACATTGTTTCTGTTAAATCTAGCTGTACTCAGGAGAGTTTTTGTGTCTTGAACTACAAGATAAGCTTTAAGAAATACTTCCACCTACCTTTGCTGTGGAAGCCTACATGCATTTGTGGCATTCCCTTGGAAAACTTAATGAACTTTATTAAAAACTCACGGTGAGGAATTCTTCTAAGTGCGAAATAAATATCGCTGTTATATTCCTGAGATGTTTCACAAGTTGATAAATCTCTTCATGAAAACAAGGTGTTTTGTGAAAATGAAGTAACTTATGGGTGCTGTAGTGGTTTAGAAAGAAGCAAGATGTATTTTTTCTCCTTTCTTTTTTCAAAGTGTGGGTAAAGATAACAGACTACACCATTGTTGATGTTTGTTTTTGGTACAATTCCTTCAATTATAATTTTCCTCCATTTCATCCAGCAGCTACTGACAGATGTTATTGCTTCAGTTTATTTAAAAAAATAAAGAAGTGAGGAGGAAAAATTAAGATTGTGGCTGCAGGCAAATAAATCAAATTAAATCAATTGTTTAAATAACCTCACACTTATTCACATATAATGCTTTTTTGAAAACTAGAAGAGAGTTGATTTTCAAATTAATTTTTTTAAAAATTCTGTTTTTTCTTTTGGATGGATTTTGGTGATTAGGCCTACCTCATAAAAATATTAATTAACTGCCAGGGCAGAAAAACATTGGCGAAGAGACAAAAAAAATGGCAAAGTGTTCCTTGGCTTTATTAAACTAGGTATTTTCAATTCTTTTCCTTTTGAGATGCAGCAGATGAAGTCACTTTGTATATCTACTGAGCATTGTTTTGCCAGGGTTTTCTAGGGCACCATACTGTGCCCCTTTTGTTAACTTGCTAGCCCCCCTTTTCTTCCCTGTTTAATGAAAGATACTCTGTTCGTTGGCAGAAAGCCTACCATAACGTGAAACAGGCTGTTACTGGATTTTATTGGTGTTAAGGACTCTGTTCCAGATGCTTCCTTAAAGTGTTGAGCTGGTTTTTTTGTTGTTCACTAGGATGCTTTTCTTCGAGACAGTTGAGTTAGCAGGAATCTCAGGCATAATACATCTTTTACATAAATCATTATGTAGAAAAATTGACCTTTCTTCAAATATTGCCCCCTGCTGTGTGTAGACTGCAGCTAATCAAATATTTAGAGATTCTTAGGTATTCATTTTCTTTTTAGATGGGAGAAGTAGGCTATATAGAATCTTTTCTCAACTACATACCCCCATATTTGACAACTAAAGTAAAGTAGGCTTTTGAGTTTTGTTTTCAGGTAAATCCACAGTAGTGTATAGATTGTGTATCCTTTAAAATTTCTGACTAATTTTAATGTGAGCCAGTTCATCAAGCTTATAAGGACCCTGGAACAGTTGTACTTAGAGACAGTGAAATTCAGTCACCAAAGATAGTATTAAATAAACAGCTCTAGCTTTAAGTACATTTCCTATTGAAGATTCCCTTCCTTTAACGTAGCAAATAAAGTTATCAATTGTTTATTAAGTGTATATGTACCCCCAAAAGAATTCATACCAATTTTCCTCTGTTAAAAAAAAAATCCCTGTTTAACATTTCTTTAGCTTCAGCATTTTGTTTTGTATTTAAAATTATACAAGACCTTGAGGTTTCCTTTGTTATTCTTATAGGGAATCTAGGGGGTCCAGTGGGTAAAGCACTGGCCTTGGAGTCCACTTGGAAGAAGACCTGAATTCTTGGGCAAGTCATTTAGCTTCTCAGGCTCAATTTCTTCATCTGTAAAATGAGGATAATTTCGCACCTAGCTCACAGGGTTGTTGCAAAAATAAAACCAGATAACATATGTAAAGTGCTCTGCAAACTTTAAAGTGCTATCTAAATACTAGTTGCTATTTTTATTGTTATTAGCTGATTTATAAGAATCCCTTCAGAATTTTTAAACCAGATTATTTGAAAGAATTCTCATTCTGTATATATTTGTAATACAAGTATTGTATAGTTTGGGGTTTTTAATGAATGAAATATGGGTTTTAAACTTTGTGATTTTTTTATACTTTCTACAAATTCTGTGGATGAGCTTTTTTCCCCCATAATTGGTTCTACTGAACACTCAGTAATGAAGAGACTTCAAAGAAAACAAGCTGCCCTCAAGAGAAGTAGTTTATTCACATAGAGAACTGCAATTATTTTAATGAAATGTTTTTGGTCAATGGACCTTAGATTATTATGTATGTGATTTAAATAAATTGCTTTATTAATTGAATGGAAAACAAGGGAACAGGGGCTGTGACTCAGCCTTAGAACACCAAGTTATTTGCATACCTCTTTTTCTATGTCAGAATATTTATTTCATTGATGGGTCAGCTCACTAGAGAGCTGTCCTTTGTAGCAGAATTTCTGAATGAAAGCACTTCTTTGTTATGAAAAAAAAGAAAGAAGCAAAAAATTAAATAAGTAAAGTCCCAATCAGGTTAAAGTTGCCAGCAAGCAACATTATTTTCTTTCTATCTAGAAAGCAAAAATCTTATTAGGTATAAGAATATGGAGTTACAGTCATTTCCAACACTTTGTCATATTTTCATGTCTTTTTGGTCATGCATACTGGTCTATATATGACACTTTCTGTGTGCCTTTTTTTACTCATATCTTCTTGAGAACTAAAGTTTTATAGTACCTTAATATTTTCTTTAGCATTTATAAGATAGATATGGCCTATGTTATTCCCACTTGACAGATTAAGAAACTGAGGCACAGAAAGGTTAAGCGATTTGACTAAACTACCTAATAGGAGATCTATACTCTGAAGCAGTAGACTGTAGTTCTCCTAACTCTGCACTATATATGCTTTTCATTGCATTATTCCGCCTCTATTTCATTAGTATTCTAATTAATCCATTTAGCTTATCTAGGCCATTTTTTTTACACCAGGAGTTTAGTTCATCATCTTATGCTTCTTAAAAATGTCATGATGTGATTTCTGTGGGGAGAGTTGGTTTACTTAATTAAATAATAACTCTTCATTGGCTTAGATTAGTAGGACAGCATGTTGTAATAGAGCACTGGATATGGAGATAAATAATCTGGGTTTGAATCCTGCATCTGCCAAGGTGTATGTGTTGACCAAGTCACTGAGCTTCTTTGGGTGTCAGTTTCATCATCTGTAAAATGTGGAGTTGGAAGATGATTCCGTACTCTAAGATTCCACCCAGCTCCATGATCTGTGTATTCAATTCTGATTTTTTTCCAGAGTAAATTCTTAGTTGTTATATTTAGTGATGTGATCAGTAACTTATAATTAAGTGATCTTCCCCACAAGGTTTCATTAATTTTTCATCACTAGTTTGCCATTCTTTATCTTTGCCTCTCTTGTCTAGTGTGGTTTCCCTACTCTGGGAATAAAAAAGCAGCAGATTGTTTTCATTGTACTTCATATAAAATATGTGGACAGAAAAGCCGGATACGTTTTTTTTTTTTTACAAGCATTCAGGAGTGCTAAGTTTTCTGTCCTAACACATCACATCTTCCAGATGCTGTGTAATTAGAAGAATGCAGCAGATCCTTACTTATTTCAGTTGAGGATGGGATTTAAAAAAAATATGATGAATCAAATTCTGATTCCCTTTTCTGTATCTTTTGCTATATTCATCATTCCCTCTGAAGTCTATAAGTATTCTGTGCACAGAGGGAATGTGTCAGGTATGAAGGGGAATTAATGCTTAATTATTGTAATGTCTTATGTTTATTGAATGACGATATGAGAACTCACTGGGTAGAAACCTCCAGATAAATAATAGTTTTTTTTTTTAATGTCTTATTGATGCTTTTTTGAAACATCATTGTCACTTCCCAATAACCTTCTTCCCCCATGGAATCTTCTTTTTTATGAAGAAAGCAGATAGGCAAAACTAATACAGCAACCATCACTCACAGCATATGCAGTTTTTGCATTTGTAGCCTACTGCCTCTGTCAAGAGAAGAGAATATAGAAGGCAGCTAGGTGGCGTACCGGCCCTGAAGTCAAGAGGACCTGAGTTCAAATCTGGCCTCAGACCAAACACATGACACTTACTAGCTGTGTGACCCTGGGCAAGTCACTTAACCCCAGTTGCCTAATTAAAAGAGAGAGAGAGAGAGAAGTGAATAGATTTCACCACCAGCCATTTGGAAATAAGACTGATTAACATCAAATTAATATGAATTCTGAGATGTTGTAGTGTTTTTTCCCCTGTACTAGGTGATCATGGTGTATATTCTCTTGATTCTACTTTATTCTCTCTATGTTCATTCATATAAGACTCCCCAAATTTCTTTAAATTCTTAATATTTGTCATTTGTTAAAGTGCTATAATATTCCATTACCAAATTTTGTTAATAAACCAAAATTTGTTCAGCCATGCTTCAGTTGATGAGTATATCAATTAACATATTTTTGCTACCATGAAAAGAGCCAGTATGAGCAATAATCAATTCCCTAAGATGGCTTATTTTCAAAAGTGCATGTTGCTTTTGGCTATTGATAATACCACTCTTAAATCTGTTAACAAGAATTTGCAAGTGTCTGTTGACTGAGCTATTGCTCTTCATGTAGTAACTGCTTTGGATATGCCAACCCTTATCTTCCTTTTCATAGACCAATCTGGAATATTCTGTGACATGTTTTGGGTTGGTTTTTTTTTTTTAATCTTTTGTAGGACCTCCGAGCAGAAACTCCACTTGGTGACCTTTGGCATCATGATTTCTGGGGTAGTAAACTCAGCAGCAACACTAGTCACAAGTCTTATCGGCCACTCACTGTCCTAACTTTCAGGTAAGCCATGCTGAAACTCACAGTGATGCTTGGTTGTTCCAAGTTTCCTTACATGCTAGAAGATAATGTGTGTGGTATTTTTCACATGGTAAGTATTTTTAAAATTGTGGTTAAGTGAATGAATGAGGATTCATGTCTTATTCCAGTGTAATGTAAACCAATTGGAGTGTTGGCTTCTCTGTTGAGAGGATGTTAACATATTAATGGAGCTCTGAAGCAGCTGTTTTTCAGACATTTGGAACACATAGCATTTTGCCTGCAGGTCATAAAAACATCAATAGTATATGTATGTAGACAGACTTTGAATCAGCATTCTATTTATAGTTCCACATGATAGAAAGTTTAGATATGCTAACCATAAAAAAAATACAATATTCCCCCACCAAACAAACAAACCCTTGACAAAGCATTATTGTTATTGTTCAGTTGTGTCCAACTCTTTGTAACCCCATGGACCATAGCTTGCCAATACTGTCCATGGGGTTTTCTTGGCAAAGATACTGGAGTGGTTTGCTATTTCCTTCTCCAGTGGATTAAGGCAAACAGAAATTAAGTGACTTGCCCAGGGTTGCATAGCTAGTAAATGTCTCAGACTGGATTTGAACTCAGGTCTTCCTGCCTCCAGGCCCAGCACTCTTTCTACTAAGCCATCTAGCTGCCTCACTAACAAAGTATAAATAGCTATTATTTTCATTACAGTAAGATTATTCACTTCACAGATTGCTCTACATTTTTAATGCATCTGTATGAGTTTATAGATCATTTGTTTCTTACTAGAGAAACATAAAACTAAAGTTTTGAGTAACTAAAAATTAAACATCAATTGGAAATTAAAATCTCAGAAAAATATGAGCCATTTGGAAGAATGTTTCAATTTACCAAAAAAAAAACCCAACAATTTACGCACTTTGGGGGATGCAGTTAGCTTATGCAAGCACATGTACGCACACAGAACACTAGTATTTCTTCCTTCTAGATGTTTATAAGTAGTATTTCATAAACTGGCATATACCTTTGATTAAATTCTCAATTTAATTTACCCAGTATCGTCTTTATATTTTGAACTGCTCTCTTAAAACACCTAGTTTTCTGTCTTTTTCATTTCCTTTACTGTTTTTGCCTTCCTTTATAATAATGCCCTTTCTTTCCATTTCCCCTGTGCAACTAATTATGTTCATACATTTTTTGTTCTTTGAAGCAACAGATTTTTTCATTTTTAAAGTATTTTTATCCCCAAATGCACAAAGTATTTCTTCTTACTTTAATATTTTTACTAGCAACCATTTTCCTTTGAGTTGTCTCAGCTTCTTTGTACGTATGGTTTTTTAAACCTAACCTGAACATCCTTTGTTTGCTGCAGGATTAACTACTATTTATCTGGAGGTTTCCACCCAGTGAGTTTTCATATGGTCAACATCCTCCTGCATTGTAGCATTTCCGTCCTAATGGTTGATGTCTTCTCCATATTATTTGGTGGTCTACAATATACCAGTAAAGGAAGAAGATTAAACCTGGCTCCCAAATCATCCCTTTTAGCTGCATTATTTTTTGCCGTACATCCAGTGCATACAGAGTGTGTAAGTACTTACCTGTTTCATCTGCTTTCATAAAGAAATTTATAAGAGCTCACCTATTTACATATTTCTATCCACTTTCATACAATGGTCATTCTGTGATTCTAAAATTATGGGTAGTATACTCTGCCATCTTCATCTGCCAAATATGAAACAATCAGGAAATATATTTATTAAGTACTTAAAACCTCTTGATAGCAAATAAATCAAAAGTAAGCTTAAGAAGTAAGAACTTCTAAATGTTATTAATGCTATCTGCTTAGCTAATTTAGCAACACTAATTGTAGTGATGTGAGTTTCCATATTCAATAATATGGAGTTCTTATATGTATATGGTTATGGTTAAAAATAGCTTTTAATAGAATTTCATTTTCTACTCAAAACAGCTCTCTATGATAGTATCATTATATCATATCATAATAGTATTAGCATTATTGCCCCCATTTTACAGATGAAGGAACTAAAGGTCTATAAAATTAAATTGTTTGCCCAAGGTCATATAATTATTAGGAGGCAGCTTGATGGCTCAGTGGATAGAACTCTGGGTCTGGAGTCAGGAAAACCTGAGTTCATATTTGGCCTCAGACACTTACTAGCTGTATGACCTTGAGCAAGTCACTTAATCTCTGTTTGCCTTAAGCCATTGGAGAAGAAAATGGCAAACCACTCCATTATCCTTGTCAAGAAAATCCCATGGACAATATTAGCATGCTATGCTCCACAAACATGACTGAATCGACTGAAAATCAGCAAGAAGTTGTTAACAACATAGTTATTTAGTATATTAAGTAGGACTGAAACCTAAGTCTTCAGGTTTCAAGTCATATTCTTTCTTTGTTTATTTTTTCCTTCCTTGCTTCCTTTCTTTCCTTCCTTTCTTCCTTCCTACCTACTTATCTAGGAATATGGATCTATAGGCTTATTTAATATGTATTTGTTTATGGAATTTATATATTTTATTTTATATTTTTTATATATGCTATTATGGATCGGCTAGGTGGCACAGTGGGATAGAGTGCTAGGCCTGGAATCAGGAAGACTCATATTCCTGAGTTCAAATCTGGCCTCAGACATGTACTAGCTGTGTGATCTTGGGCAAGTCACTTAGTTTTGTTTGCCTCAGTTTCCTCATCTGTACAAATTGAGCTGGAGAAGTTAATGGCCAACCACCCCAGTATTTTTGCCAAGAAAACCCTAAACAAGGTCACAAAGAATTGAACATGACTGAAACGATTGAACAACAGCATTATCTATTATTCATGTTACTCTGCTTGTACCAACATGAATCAGAGATATAGAAACAGTGCATTTCTCTTTTCTCCCTGCTTTCCTTAATAGGTTAATTATCAAAGTTAATTGGGCCTGGTCTTTTTTCTGACAGTATAATTTGCCATCACCTCATCAGAGCACTGGGAGTATCTAGATTTTAACTATAGGTTAAAGATCATTTTGTGACTGCGTAAAGCATTTAAACCCTCCCCAGGGAGCCTTACTTAGCTGGAGGTATTCTCAATGCCAAGCCTCATAAACGGTATGGTCCATGGGGTCACGAAGAGTTGAACAATAACAACAACGGGATTCTGAGAGGACATGCTTGGAGATACACACGGGCAGGATGATATATATCCTATACAGTTGTCCTATACAGTTATCGTATCTAGAATTCTTGACAATTGTTTTTCTTGGTTTTAAAAGAGAGTTCCATGAAGAAGGGAAGGAGGTTTCTTTTTTTTTCCCCAGAAATGACTGTGATATAATATCAGAAGGTATCATACTTTTGAAAACTTTTTTTTAAATGGACTTTAAAAAACTGACTCAGTTGCAACTCTAAGTATCAATTACTTTTGCTATTGATCTCCACTGGCATGGTATTATGACTAAAATCAGAATTTCAGAACAGGAAGGTTCTTTGGTCATAATCTAGTTCAGTCCTCTCTTTTTACAGATAAAGAAACTAAAGTCCCCACCAAAAAAGTAATTTTCCTAAGGTCATATTGCTAGCATTAGGATTAGAATTATAACTCCAGCCCTCAGGGAAAGGGGCAAAAATGGTTTAAATTAAAAGTTATTCCATGTCCAAAAGGGTGTAAAACTGCATACCCTTTGACCTAGCAATACCACTACTAGGTTTGTATCTCAAAGAGATCGGAGAAAAAGGAAAAGGACCTATATTTACAAAAATGCTTATAGCAATTCTTTTTGTGGCGGCAAAGACTTGGAAATTGAGGAGTTAGTTCCCCATAAATTGGGAGAATGACTGAACAAGTTATGGTATATGATTGCGATGTAATTCTATTGAACTATAAGAAATGATGAGAGAGGTGGGTTCAGAACAACCTAGGAAGACGTATATGAACTGGTGCAAAGTGAAGTGAGCTGAACCAGAACATTGTATACTGTAACAGCAGTATTGTTATGATGATCAGCTGTGAAAGACTTACCTACGTTGATCAATACAGTGATCCAAGAAAATTCCAAAGAACCCGTGAAGAAAAATGCTATCTACATCTAGAAAAAGAGAGAGAGAAAGAACTGGTGACCTCAGATTGAAAAATACTTTTTTCACTTACTTAATTTTTCTTGTTTGTTTGTTTCTGCAACATGACTAATATGGAAATGTTATATGACTTCACATGTATAACTGATATAATGTTGCTTGCCTTCTTAATGGGTGGGAGAGGGCTGTAGGGAGAGAGAATTGGGACCTCAAATTTTAAAAAAAATGTTAAAAATAAAGTATAATTATTTAAAAATTTAAAAAAGAAATTAAAAGTTATTTTTAAGGCAGATTAAATGAACCTAATTCTCAGCTCCATAGTCTGTTGTGAACTCAATGAGAAAAACTCATTGTAGATTGACGTAGGAAGAACAGAATGTTTTCCTAGCCTTTGCCTATGCTCTTTTGTGCTGCACTTGACCATAGTATGTGAGGGCTTGTTTTGGAGTAGTCTGTTTGGGGACAGGAATATCAGTGCTCATGCTTGAGTATTTCCTGAGTAACACTTTCTGGGCTGTCCTGTATCTACATTAGCCCACTGGGCACAGGATGTCACTGGTCTATAGTGCTGCTTTTTAGTGAGCTCTACAAGCTAATTCAGCTGAGCTATTGTTAAATATACTTGGCACCAACTGTATTAGCCAGTGGCTTTCAGGGTAGGGTAGCTGGGGATGGGAGTTAAGTTTCCATTTGCACGTATATGACTTGGTAAAAATTACAGAAAACTGTATGTAAATCTTTGAAAATTATTGCTTGGGCTAATAGCCTAAGGGATTCTTGTCAGGTGCATTTTGGGGCTCAGTGACCTCTGAAATTTAGTGATCATTGTAGCTAGCATCTTAATTTTACAAATGAGATTTTACATTTCTCTGCCCTCAGTGGTACTCAGCATGAAGAGTATGATATTTCTGCTTCTTTTAAAGTTCTATTCTATATCCAGCTAAATGACTTCCTGAGTACAATATAGTGAATTTAACACCTTTCAATAAATTTATAAACATTTAATAGAATTTGCAGTCTATGACAGAAAAAAAATGAGATTTGATTAAAGAAGCAATCCATGTCTGTTGGGATCTGTTTATTATTTAACAGTCGCTTGTTTATGCTCTTTTTTTTTTTTGCATTAGAAAATTCAGAAAACTTCAGGACTGCACCCCCATAGGCTGAAAACTGCTTTGATAGTTCAGACTTAAGTAGGTTCTTCCTTGCTTTCTTTGTTTTCTTTCTTCTTTCCTTCCCTTATTTCTCTATCTTTCCTTTTTCCTTCCTTCTTTCTTTTTCTCTATATATGTCTATGTTTGCATTTATATATATGTATGTGTATATATGTATAGATATACACACACAAATATGACTTGTCTCTGTTGCCTAAGCTGTAGAATTGAAACACAAAGTCTTGGACATAGGTTCACCAAGAAAGATTATAGCACTTTAGAGCTAAAGGGCAATTTAGGTGGACAACCTGTATGGTTAGAGGATTACAGGCCGTGTTATATGAGGTTTAAAGGAACTGGGAATTTTTAGCCTGGCGAAGAAAAACTTGTGGGGAGCAAACAATAACTCTCTTCAAGTGTTTAAGGGCTTAGACTTGCTTGTTTGGCCCTAGAGAGCAGAACTAAGAGTAATGAGGGGAAATTGTGATGGAGAGAAATTCATTCTGCTTGATCTAAGGAAAAGCTTTATAACCGCTATGGTTGTCTCAGTGCAGGACAAGTTGCTGTGACAGGTGGTAGGTTCCCCAATTCTCTGTGCTTGGAGGTATCCAAGCAGAGTCTGAGTGACCACTTGTCAGGATCTATGTAGAAAGAATTCCTATTTATGGACCTATTTGGACTACTTACACTTTGATTTTGTGATCTCTGAGGTCCCTTCTAACTTTACAGTTCTGAAATCAGTCCCTTCATCTCACTGATGAGAAAACCTAAGGCATCATATCTTGTTAGTGGCAAAACCAAGGCAAAAAAGCAATCCATTGTCCTTTCTACTACACCAAGCTTTCATCCCTAATGAACAAATGTCATGCTTTGATTCTGATCTAATTCACTTGTAAACACAAAAATGTAACCTTAAAACATCAGAAATTAAATGAAGCATTGAAGAATTGGCAGAATTCTGATTTTAATAATACCTTATTTGTATGTTGGCAAGTTTTATGGTTTAAGCACTTTTCCTCACAAATAACTCTGTGAAAGGGGTAATATAAATGTTATTAGCCTTGTTTTGTAGATGGGACAACTAAGGGTCAGAGAGGTAAAGTCATTTGTCCAAGCTTACAAAGCTAGTTAAGTGTGAAAGGTAGAACTTGAACCCAGGTCTTTTGACAGAAAACTTTTTTGAATAGATTGTACTGCTTTGTAGGTCTTTGAAAAAGCTTTCAAGTGCTGACAGTTGTTAAGTGTGTCTGGTCATACCATTTGGGGCCTACTAAACACTGGCAATGTCCCCAAGTATCCTACAGTATAGTAAAACTAATACGTAAGCATCCTGGGCCATTAGGGAGAACTTTAGGGTAATCCTAGCTACAGGAGAGAAATGGTTATATGTAACTTGGTTCAGACTGGAAGATTCCTTAAAGACCTCAGTATCAATCATAATACCTGCTACAATGTCTTACACACAGTAATTCCTCAATAATGATCTGTTAATAACAATAACACTAGCTAACATTTATATTGCGTTTACCATGTGCTGAGCACTGTGCTAAGCAGTTTACAGTTATCTCGTTATATAAGGAATGTTTATTCCTACAATATCTTTGTCACACTGTAGGCCCTAAGACAAATGTTCAAAATTAAGTGGGAAGATACATTCAATGCTGTTTAGAACAGTCTTCTATGAAAAGGAATTGTTTTGCTGCTGTAACTTAACAATGCTTTACCTCCAAGGCTGCTTGTTTCCCTTTTTTCAATCTCCCTGCCCCACTCCCAATTCAAATGGGATTTTTTTAAATGAGCAAAATTAGAGCCACCCAAGATAGCAAATGGAAAGACAGCTTCTCAAAGACTTTCCAGGGCCAGCCTCTATTAGGCAGCATTGTTTTCTTCAGCCGTTGGTCACACCATTTTCATGGGTTAATAGCTTTAGGACACAATGTCGCAGATTGAAAATTATTCTTCAGCTACCCTGGTATGAGGAGAACAGTGTATTTTTATGTGCGTTTATCATACTGTTTATAGTATGCTGTTTACATTTAGTATGGGAATACAAAAGTAGCTCATTCTGGGTTTGCTGAGTTTGAAATAAGTTGGTACATTAAGACTAAAAATATTTTCACGTACAAGAGTTTTCAGTGAATGACATGTCTCTAAAAGAGAACTCAAAATTTGTCAGGCTGTTGAAAGTTTTGCTGAGCTACTCTTATCTATAAACTGCTACTGGTAAAACAAATGAAATTAGTATTAAAAATATTCAATTGGCATACGAGTCTTATTTTTATAATTTCTTAATTATCCAGCCTCTGATGGGTCATTCTGGTATGAAAGTGACCTTGTGGTCTCAAGGCTTTGCCAGCAGAGCACAACCTCTAGCAGATCTGACTGAACTGGAATAGCTTTAAGTAGGGGACTGGGGATGGACTGTATATTCTCTGTCTCAGGATCACCCTAGCTAAATGTGGAGAGGTCATGAATTTTTTCAGCCACAGCAACTCATAAAGACCACTTACTAAAGTATTTAATGGCTGTGATTTCTATTAATGGGAGTGCTCCAACAAATGAAATCATGGATCTTTCAAGTACGTGCCAAAGTGCAAGGCATTACTGTGATGGAACTAGTAGAAAGAAGTGGAAAAGAAAGTCAAGGAAGAGGAGGGGAAGGAGAGTCTTAAGTGGGTCAACCATTTGCACCTCAGGCTGTTTCTATAAGGCCCAAGAACAATTTGCTGATGTTGGACTGGAGATCCATAGGTGGGGCTGCTCACCTGAGACCCAATTGTGCTGTCCCCCATCCTAGGTGAGAAGATTAACTAAGCTTTCTATCATCAGTCAATCAACAAGCATCTATTAAAGTCCCTACTATGTGCTGGGCACTGGGAATAATACAAAGAAAGAATGAAACATTCTATTCTCAATAGGGATTCTGTTTTCTAGGGTAGTGCCCACTGCTACTCTATACAGATCAAGAGTTGGCAGTAGTCAAGCATAACAGAAAGTAGCAGATCCTAGGGACCTTTTTTCAAAGTTTCTGTGCTCTTCCAATAATGCTATAGTGCATTTCAAATCATAGTGAAATATTATCTTGCTTAAACGATAAGGGATAACATTTTGCAAATATTTCCCCCCAGAAAAGATAGCTGCAGTAGACACTGCAGATCTGATCCACTAAGTAAAAATTGTGCACCCACATTTGGCTTGGACAAGGTTTAATCACTTTGCATATGTGTTCACTCAAAGTGATTGTATTGGGGGTGGAGGGAAGCAGTTCATACCCAATTTCATTCTACTAACTCTTCCTTTTCTCCTTCATTACATTCTAGGTTTTTCTGTTTCTTATCAAATTAGATGGTGGAGATTAAGGCATATGTGTTGCCCTTCAGGAATTTCTATCAAGAGTATATAGGTTATGCTTAAATAGGCTTAGAGATAGTTACTACCTTTAAAGGACTGTTTTAAACATTGTTTTTCTAAGCTTTTAATTATGATATGAATATATAATAGTTGTGGACATATTCTTCATTTTCAGTGCAACTTTAATGTTATTTCCTACTCCCTAAACTCTCTAGAAAAATTAAGTTAATCTTAATTTTACTACCCCTATTGATTAAAGAGTCGAAATTTAATAATGTCAATAAAAGCTTGGTTACTTGAAATACTGGGAAAATAGAGTATGCCAATTAATCAAGAATCTCATTGAACTAAAATTTGTACTTACAAATAGACTATATCATGAATTAACATGAGTCATTTGGAAAGAACTAATTAGATAATCTGTCTTGGAGAAACTGTGATGGAAATGCAAACATGTCCTGCCTTAACATCATTAATTGGCTCCACAAAAACACAACTTTTGATGATGTTACAGAGGGTAGTTCTGTACATACAGTGTTGTAAATGGGTGACCAGTAAATCATGTTACAGGGGTACTTTGCAACATTCTGGGAGGTGTGGGGGGAAAGAAAGAATTAGACAGGAGTGGGTGGGATGAGTGTACTATGATAATAATATTATACAACTATATTGGGTGAAACAGTGTTTTGTGGCATCCCTGTACACATATAAAATTTCTTCTGAATCATCTAGTTAAGTTAAGAGAGAGTAGCTTGGCTAAGAATAGAGTCCGTTGGATGATAAAATGCCTGGGGGTGGAAGATATGAGGTTCCGTTTTCTTGCCTAGTGTTTACCAAATACTTCTGAAAGTTTCTACTTTCCACCCTATAAGGGGCTTTGATCTGAGGAGGAAAAACTGCTACAAGTTTTATTCTTCTACTTAAGTAATTTAGATGCAACATTAAATTTGCATTTCTAGCATTAACTCTTATGACTTCTTTAAGGAAAGCTTTATAATCACCTCATAGTTCTTCAGGTCTATTTCTGTCTATTTTTCTCATTTTTGAAGTATTTGTCATTTACCATGAACTTTTTTATTCAAGATTTATGTTAGAGGATATCAATAGTGCCAGTTTCCAGAGCATTCTTTTGGTAAATGCTAGATAAATTAGCTCCCTCAATATTTAAACACTTCAAAGTGTTTTTCATTAGGTTCATAGAAAGCCCATTTTCTTCTGAAAGTAAATAAATCAAATCTTATCACTAAAAATTGAAACTCCAAATGATTGTAAGATACTACCATAAGATGAAACAATTTATCAGAATAGCCTTGCTGTAGTTTTTGTTTCATGTTTCTAAGTAATTATATTTGTGATTTTCCCAACTAGATTTTTGAAAATGTATATTTTTATGAAAATCTTTTTTCTCTCTTTTTAAGGTTGCTGGTATCGTTGGCAGAGCTGACCTCCTGGGTGCCCTCTTCTTTTTGTTATCTTTCCTTGGCTACTGTCACGCATTTAGAGAAAGTAAGCATTGTTTAACTTTTTATTTCATGTCTTATTGGTAAATTTTTATATTTATTTGATATACATACCTTATAGGCTTTTAAAAGACTAGAAAAAACTCAATTTTAGGAGCAATATGGGAAAGGCTTCATGATTGGAAGGGACCTCAGACATCATTTGTAATAGCTCCAACCCAAAGCACAAATCATAACTACAAATGCTTAGCCAACTTTTGCATAAAGACCTACAGTGAAGAGGAAATTGCTGCTTAGTGAGGCAAACTTATTTCATCTTTAGATAGCTCTAATTGTTAGAAATTTTTTTTATATTAAACTGCAATTTCCCTCTCTATGAATTCTATCTTTGGTTCTGGTTCTGTTCTTTAGGGTCAAGCAGAACAAATCTAATTTCTCTTCCCTATGATACCTTCAGATATTTGGAGACAGTAGTCAAGTCTTCCTAAAGTATTCCCCTTTCCAGACCAAATGTCCATAGTTCCTTCTAAAGATACTCTTTTGGCATGGTTCCAAGTCCTTTCATTATCCTCATCACCCTCTTCTGGGTACGTTTCATTTTGTCAACCTTTTTTCTAAAATGTGGCACCCATAATTGGACATGGTACTAGAGATGTTGTCCAACCAGGTATGCTAGTAGCAGAAGCTACTTCCCTTCCTGTGGTGAATGTACTTCTAATAATGTAGCATAAATTTGCATTATCTGACTGTCATATCATTTCTGACTGTCATATCACATTGATGACTCATGATGAATTTAGAATTGACTAACCCATAAGTTTTTTTTTTCATTTAAATTGCTTTCTAACAAGATCTTCCCCAATTATTTATTTATACAGTTGATTTTTTTAACCAAATGTAGGGCTTTTTACCCTTATTCAATTTCATCAGCTTTGCTTTAGCCCACATTCTTGCTAATCTTTTTGGTTGCCAGCTCTATCATCCGGCCTATTAACTATCACTTCCAGATTCATGTCTGTAAATTCGATGTGCCATTTATGCCTTCCTGTAAGAAGTCATTGACAGAAATGATGAACAAACCTGGGCCAAGGACAGAGCCCTGTGATGCTCTACCTGATGGATCCATTATTCATCATTCTTTGGGTCTGTTGAGTCAGCCAGTTCTGAATTCACCTCACCTTTGCTGTCATGCAGTATGCTTTTCTGCCCAACTCCCTTAGCTTCTTTTTCAATATTTAGTCTGTTTCTTCCCTATTACTCTCTCAATGAAAGTATTCACATAGAGGCAGGATAACCACTTTTAAGGGATGTTGTAGAGAGGATTCTTTCTTAAGTAGGGATGGCCCGTGAAATCCCTTTTAATTCTGAGACTGTAACTTAACAACTATATGAAATTACATTGCGAATAGATTCATAGAATGATGTATACTCTTCAGTTAATTATTTTTGGTACCATTACTAAATCAGTTAATTTTTAAAAATTGTTATTTTCTAATAATAGTGTGAAAAGAAACTTTGTGAATGTTTTTATTACTAAAAACTCGAGGAGAAATGCAAAAGGAATTATAACATATCTGTAATCATGGGATTGGATTTCTAAGCCTGAACTGTTCTTTAAATGTCATGTCAATGTGTATAAATTGTTTTCTTATTAAAACTGTTACTAGAATTTTCCAGATTCAAATGACTGTTTAAGAACACAGAAATTTACATTGGAATTGTTTATTTTTTTTAAAAGATGGTCACATTTTTACCTACAGTCTGATATAATTTAGGTCAAATCATGTCTCCCCTTCTACTCTGGATGCTAGAGTAGAAGAGGTCTGATGAAACACTGATTTTATCCAGGTTTGTCAGTTTCATCCCTAACTTTCCACATGCCCCAGAATGACTCAGATATATCTATAGTTTTAAAATTAGATCTTTGTCAAATAATTTATTTCTCTGGAACATAAATATGGAAGATAGGGATGAGATTATCTTGTTTTTATTCTTCCTTGTGCTCATGAATCTCTTAACTGTTTTATCTTGGTTCCCAAGGAAGAAGGTAAGTTCAAGCAACTAAGAGTCAAGAGACTTTAGTCACTGTTTGTTACATCAAAATAAACTGTGTTTTTTATATTCTTCAGTGAGGTATTGCAAATGTAACTAAATGGTCTTACTTCTCTGCCGTCTTCTCCCAAAAATTCACCCATGGTCTTCCCAAATTTTTACCCTTTGTGATGGTGACACTTGAAGCTTTGAATCTTTGCCCCTCATAAAGGTTTCATAATTCAGACCACTGTTTATAAGAACCTTTTTATGACCAATTTTACCCCTACTAGGATTATGAGGCATCACTTTAAAGGAGACTAGCTAATTACATGACTAATCCAGTGGTACATTGTGATTATGAATCACTGATAATGATGGACAAACTCTCTACCACCCATTTCTGTTAAATGTCAAATATTAGTACTTTGTATTCTTGAGTTGTGAATTAAATACATAACACAGTCACATGAGATAAAAGGTTTACCAGTAGTCACATTTTTCTTGGAGAAAATAAACAATTCAGTCTGTTGTCTTTTCTCTGGAATAACTGTAGATCAATGAAATGTTTTATTAATTTTAAATTATATCCTTTCTAAAGTAATTATCAGATCATCTAAATCTATGTCAAGGAGAATATATAAGGACTTTTTAATGAATAGACGGCGATAAATAGAGATTTAACATTTGGGTTAGATCATCTGAGAGATAACATTTTAAATCTCTCCCTTGGTTAGTTGACACTAAAATAATCTGAGAAATGAAGTAATGTGGTTCTTTGATAAATTCTATTTTGGAAACTAGGTAAGTAGCAAGGTAAAGATTCTTTCATCTGTAGGTGTGACTATCATTAAAATATTTTTTCTTTTAAATCTATTTGCATGGCTATTCTCTGAATCTTTTTCTTTTCAGAAAGATTTGTTTATCTGATTAGACATTCCTCAGAATAGAGGGACAGTTCTGCATAATATGACTTGGGAGGGAGGGGAGATTGTAAGCTGCTAGATAGTGTTTGGAATTCTTACACTAAACCTCTCAAGGAGAAGCTGTTAATATTTTATAATTCAACTCATATTCCTTGAAATTGAATAACCTATTTTCTAGTGTACTTTCTGGGAAAAGAAAAATTTGAACTAAAACCCAGTCTTTGGCATTGTTGCACAGTTAGTTTCAAGTCTCTTGCAGCTATTAACACCTCTCTCCTTGGAGAATATAAAGCCTTAGGATGCTCCAGGGGTTCTGCATTTCCTAAAGAGATTTATTCATCAGGACTTGTGGTTACTAGACTTTTAGACTTATTTTCTGAAGGTCCAATGGTTATCCTTGTTCATGTACTAGGAAAGTTCTGAATTACAGCCACATTGTCATAGTGGTTTTGCTTTAGGGTTGAAAAGGTGTTTAAAATGTGATGCTACGTGAGAGTAAAGGGTGGTTATTAATTTGGTTTCCATTGCTATTTCCATTTTTGACTCATTATTTTCATACCACATACTATTGATAAAGCTATACATGTAGCCTGACTAGAGCTGCTCCATTCCTGTCAATGGAGCCTCTAGGTTTTAGACAACTTTTACTTTTTAATGATCCTTTTTTAATTAATAAGTTTTCTAATAGAGAATTAACTGTGGTGTTGTAAACATTGAGCCATTGTAATAATCTTTAATCTTCATGGTAGTATTCAACCTCATGTCTGTGACAGCTCCCTAAATGTTAATCTCATGAGTATCAAGTGAGTCTTCCTTCTATAGTATATGACTACAGAGTTCATTGTGGTGGTACCGGTATTTCCAGTTTCTGTTATATTTTTGCTTGATCTTCTGGGGCCATTTTGATCAAAATCAAGTGGTTTATCTTCTTTACCTATTTCTGTCATAGCAGAGTTGCATCTAAATTCTTTTTGCAGATTACTTGCCACAAGGTGTTCAGAATGGAGCCCTCATCACAGGGCTGCTTAGTATTCATGATGGAAAGGAGGCCAGCGAGTATAAATACTAGATGTTGCTTAATGTTTATTGGGTACCCATAATATATGACCTGCTGTTCACACTTATTAGATTGAAGCATAAATTAAGGGAAAGAGCCAATATTGGCTATGGACAGGCTTGAAATATAGGGGGAGTAGAGTTTTATAGAAGAGGAATGAATTATTTGAAGATCATTTAAACTAATAACTTAACAAGTATTTTAAAGCTGTTCTAGAGAATGAATTCCTTTCTGGTAACCTCATTAAATTCCTTTAAAGAAAAAGAGGAGATGACTATATTGCAAGCCTCTGTATCATTTTAAACTGGCTGTATTTATTATCAGGCAATTTTGTGTTAAACCTCTGCAATCCTGGCATTTTCATCAAATGAAAACCTAGTGAAATAACACTTCTGGGGCCCTGCCCTTTTTGTGGGTGCTTAAATGGGATGTCTGCAGGCAAGATCCTTCATAACAGGATTTTATGAAAAGGAAATGTTTTACAAAGGAAGCTTACCTTTCCTTGATATAACCTGTAAAGAAGAAAGCTTAATTCACTGTAAAAGAAAATTTAAGAAAATGAAGTTCAAAAAGTATATTCATTACAATTTTCAGATCCCCTCCCCAAGGAAAAAAATTTTATTGGCTTGGATGAAATATCATCTCAATATTTGCATCTGTCCTGAAATCTCATTTTTCAGATAGAAACATTTGTACATTTCTATGTAATGGTTCCATGTTTGGACTATCAGACTGGCTAAATCCATTATCCATTTTCTTTTCTAAGCAAATAGTCTAAAAGTTCCACTTACTGGGCATATAAGACAGGATCTGGTTTCATCTAGTGGTAAGTATAAATATTCTCAAGTATTGTGGGAGACGAGTATTTGCCTCAGGAGAAAAGGAATTCTTTATGACTGAAGAGCATTTTTTTCTTCTTAACCTTTTGTTTTTCCCAGCAAGTCTAAATCTTGGTGTCATTCAGTATTTTTTAAATGATCTAAGATAACAAGTAGTCCCTTAAAGAGACCTTAAAATCCATTCTGAACTCAG